GCGAACCCAGGGAAGGCGAGGGGCAGGGAAGGCTCTCGGGTACAGCCAAGACAGAGACCACCGAACCCCCTCCTTACAGTGTGGCTGGACTCTCAAATCACCTGGACCGGTTCGAATCACAAGGCTGGCCCGTTCCCAAGACCCTCATGATGAGAGCGGCTCACTGTGCCTGACATTTGTGCAAACGGTATAGTTTATACTCAACACCGTCGTCCTTGTAGGGGGTCTCACAAGGCGGAGGGTGCCTATGCGACCAGCCCCCCCCAAAATACCCCAGCTGTTGAGCGTCTGATGAGTTTCCACGGTTGCAACACCTCACGCAGATTGCCAGAACTTTCTTGAGGAGGAATGAAGCATGTTCTATGGGTGTCCACGTGGAGAGGACTCGTGGGGGCTTATGACTGGTTTGCCACGGGCTGTGCCCCAAGCACCTTCCTTCTCTCCTGATTTTGCTGTGTCCTCTCAACATCAGTTTTATGACTACACACTGGTCCTGTGAGTCCCCCCCCCACCCAGTGAGTCGCACAACCTGAGGGGGGTCATCGGGATCTCTCCAGCCCTTCCCACCCCCTACACAGAAGACCCTGCCGGTTACACCCCAACTTCAGACCTGCAGAAACCGTGACGTCACAGCTCTGCCTTGCATCGGGCCGCGAAGGGCACGGTAACTTCTTACGCTGGCAGCACGAAACCAAGAAAACAACAAAGTGTCGCTGATGAAGAGTGTAAACCTTTCAAGGGAATTTTGTTTAGACTCTCAAATTCACTCTCCAATTAAGGTCAGCGATCCGTAATGAAAACCACACCCTGACGGAGGGGTCGAGCCTCCGTTGTCATTAAGAGCCGCTGACTCTGGGGCGCCTGGGTGGCGCAGTCGGTTAAGCGTCCGACTTCAGCCAGGTCACGATCTCGCGGTCCGGGAGTTCGAGCCCCGCGTCAGGCTCTGGGCTGATGGCTCAGAGCCTGGAGCCTGTTTCCGATTCTGTGTCTCCCTCTCTCTCTGCCCCTCCCCCGTTCATGCTCTCTCTCTGTCCCAAAAATAAATAAACGTTGAAAAAAAAATTTTTTTTTAAATAAAAAAAAAAAAAAAAAAAAAAAA